GATTCCCAATTCTTCTCCTCCCTTTGGTCTCTGAGATACAATTTGCAGATGCTTCCCCTCTTCCTGCAGCTGTGAAGTAATGCTCATTAAGGAACACAATAGGAAGTATTCCTTGTGGTTTAAATGACCTCCCTCCTGGTAGCAGCCTTTCCAGGACAGCTGTGATATTTTGTAAATAATATACTAAAAGTATTTCTTCTGTATATGCAGCTTATTAAATGTAAGTGCTCATATTAATGTAGATGTTTAGTAAACCTTTCTGAAAGTAGGATAGTTGAGAATTGATGTCGTTTAGGGAAAGCCTCTGCCTGGAGGCTTTGTAAGAACATGATTTTGCTTTTGGTGTATTAATATACCCCTTATAAAAGAGGGTGAGAAAAGACGACGCAAAGTTTAGTAATACCAAGCTATTTAGGGTAGTAAAAATGAAGGCCTGCATTGAGTAATCGTGGAAGGATCTTACGTGGATGAATGACTGCGCAATAAAATGACAAATTAAATTTAGCTTAGATAAATATTAAATGATAAACATGGAAAAATATTAACTTCTCAGAGCCCACCATTTTTATATCTTGCAGATCTATATAAACTTGTAAATTTATAGAAAGTGGTAGCACTGATGGCTACCAGCCAAAAGTGAGATCTTGGCCTGGCAATAAAAAACTCCATGAGAATATCAACTCAGTACTGAGTATCAATCAAAAAAGCAAAGCAAATGCTAAAAATCAGGCCTGGAATAAAGAGGAGAACTTTATTATGGCACTCTATAAAGCTGTGGTTCACCCGTATCTTACGGTGTTGCAGTTGTGGTCCACCCATATCACAAAAGAACTGTGGAAGAGTTAGGAGAAGGGTGATCCAATGTAAGGAACAACTCTAAACAATCTGGAAAAGAGAAAAACTTGGAGGGTTACGTGGTAGATGTCTGTAAAACCATGAGTAGTGTGGAAGAGCGATTGACTGTTGCCTCATCCAACACAAGAACCAGAGATTGTCAAGTGAAACTAGTAACTAATGTTCAAAACAAAAAGGTCATTCTCAGCACAACGGATGGGTGACCAGGGAACTTCTTGTCAAAGCCGGTTGTGACTGATTACATTTGAAACAGTTGAAGAGATGAGGCAAGCCTTAGGAGAGAATCTGAGGGTTACTGAGTACATGGAAACCCCATCTCCCATGAGAAGTATCTCAGCTAATAGTGGTTAAAAGCTGGGCAAGTGTTAAGAGTTTCTTGCCTTGTTCTTACTCTGTGCCCTAGGCACCTGCTTTTGGCCACTAGTATGGTTAAAAGCTGGGCAAGTGTTAGGAGTTTCTTGCCTTGTTCTTACTCTATGCCCTAGGCACCTGCTTTTGGCCACTAGTGAGACGGCCTACTGGGCTAGGTGGATCTTTGGTCTCACTCAGTATGGTTATTCTTAGGAGTTTGAGGATGGGCTCGATAACACCTTGGAATCCTTCCCAGCTTTATTTTCTTGGTGGAGTTCATAATCTTAATCTGGGAAGATTTGGTAATTTGCAGCATTGAATTAATGTTATGCCTTGGGAGCCTGTACAACCCAACAGTTTGGAACGTCCCAGAGCTCGGTACCTCCACATTCTGGGCAGCAGCTCAGGTCTTGTCTTTCTGGGACAGTGTTGCTGACTTAATACCATTCCCTGAGTGTTAAAAGTAATGAAACTTAATTTTCTGTGAATTTGCATCTCATGGTTGACTCTTTTTTAGCTTAACGATACTAAAACTGGAGAGACTGATAGGTGCCACAGAATCCATATGAGGAAGAAACTTTGAAGAATGAATATTGAATGAGATATGAGCTCAAGCTGAAAATATTCCCACAGCACAGGCATTCCTAATGTCTCTCCCATGTAGGTTGCCTGGCATTTATTGAGGGTAGAACTTGCTCTGTTCTTTCCTTCAGTGAGAGCATGTGAAGTGTTTTGTCTTGTCTGTCCGTCTGTTTTTTTCCTCAAAGCTTCTGGAAATCTAAATTTTTCAGTATCCTCTTTTAGCATTTTTACCCATTCAACAGGTTCAGCCAAATTTATTTTGGGAGAAATGCACAGTTGGTGATGACTTTTTTTTTTTTTAATTAAAAAAGTTGTGACTGTATATTGTTCATTTGGTCCCATCTCTGAAATACTTTAGTGCTTCATAATCTGTAAAGCATTGATCATCATAACTCATATTTATCATCATAGCAAAAAGTAGCAAAAAGAGGCTCAAGATGGACCAAGGAGCACACCCAACTGGTTTGTTTCACTGGGTATTAATGCTGGTGGGCTTTTGGTACTGAAAGTGCTGTGGATGCGTGTACTTGCACGATGGCTTCTGAAGTCTCAAAGCATTAAATGGATGAGTGTTAGTTGTGTTTGCCTCCTGCATTGGTCAGGGCATGGCTTTCTGCTTGTCCTGTTGGAAAGACTCAAGATCCAGAAGGGACGGACAGTTGTTTGTGAACTCTTTCTGCTGAAGGACATGACTTCTGAGACTAGCTGATGTGATTTAAAGCTTTCTTTTCGGTTTTCCCAATAGGAATTAGGGATTTTTCTCACTAAATCAAATCCAATCTTAGGATCATGACGGACATCTCTGTCTGCATTGCTGTTTATCTAGTGTCATTTAAAGGGAACTTAAAAAAAAAAAAAAATTTCCACTGCAGGTTGGATTGTGTGACTTCATGTTCCATCTGTTGGCTTTAAATCTTCACTGCTTAACTTGAAGAGTGTTTTGCTGCTGTCTTCTCATGGCAGGGTCTTGTGGAGTCACTCTTCCTCAGTCAGCCCTTCCTCCTTAGATTAGCAAAGAAAAGTCTAGAAAATACCTAGTCTCTGATCGTGAAGTGCATTTCCCGACAAGTATTGCTGTAATTGTGCTTTGGACCTTTCTCTGTTCTACAGCTTCTGCTATTCAATGTTCTTCTGCATTGCTTTCAATTAGCTTGTTCAAATACTGCACATTTCCCTACGGCCCCTCTTCCAGTCGCGCTGTAATGACAGTTCTTCTTATTTGACACTGTGTAGATGTATGCCACCTGCCAGCTTTTTAAACAATTATATTTTCTCTCAATTTATTAAAAAAATAACTACATAATGATGACTTCAGCACTGACTCTTGTTATTTGTCGCTCAAAAAACAGTTTACATCAAGCCACTTCTACTGAAAGACAGCTGAGATGGCGGGCTGGAGCGCCCTTTCCCAAAGAGGTATCAAGGGATTCAGATTTCAAAAGGAAAACGGGATAGTCTGCTCACTCATGGAATTCAACAGTGTTGCAGAATTACTGTGCTAATGCAAATTTTCTACTTAATCACACAAAAAGTTGAATTTTCAAAAGTAGTTTGAATAGTGAAAAGTACAGAGGGTTAGGTTAGAAAGGGGGGTGGAATATTTTGACAAAAGCTCCGGAGTGAGGGCCAAGTTAAGCGCTACTACAGCCGAGGGTTAGCATAGTATGTCTTTTTCTTCTGCCTGAGGCCTTGGGTTCTCGACTAAGGTAATACAAGGCAGAAAGGTTGGGCTTATTACTTAGTTGATAACTCAGTCCACTCGACTGGGTCCCGTTAATTATATCCCTTCAAAGCGCTATCATGAGAATCTGTTACGGAAGGTCTGTGTGATTAGAATTTCCTTGGCAAGTAAGTGATGAGAGAAAGTGTCTTTATATTTGATAAGATTTTTTTATCTCAGTCTGTTTTAATATACGCACTTTGCTTTCTCATCCCAAATTGCTTCAGTTGTTCGTAACAGCGTGTTTTCACTTTGGAAAATCTGGGTGAGAATTCACTGATGGTTGTAACTCATCCAACAAAGGCTCCTTATGGGGAGAAAGGTCTGATCAAAGCTGAAAATCTGCTGCTTGGAAAGGAGAGGAAACCTGTTGCTGTAGATTACTATAGATAACTCTGAAATTTAATTTAGGTGTTAGAATATCTTTCTGGCCTAGAGCTGGCTAGAAATAGCAAAGCAATATTGTCATTTTCTGGATCTAGTTACTAGTTGGATTATTTCTATGCAGAATTTCAGATACCTCTGTTCTTTCATATTTTATCCTTACGTGTTATTTTGTTTGTTCTTAAATAAAAACAAAAACATTTTTCCAGGGTTTTACAGTGTCAGAAATCTGGAGACATACCCTTCTAGATAGTCAGTACTGGGTGTCTGAAACTTTCTGTGCTGTCAAGTGTGTTGATTCCTTTAGCAACTGATTTTTATTAGTTTTTTATTCTTAACAGTAAGATATCAGAGAAAATCCTGTCTTCTGATTTCTTCACTCCTGCTCAGGACATGAGCTGTTGTTGACACTTTAAAGTATTTAAGCATCATGGCTATGACAGTACCACTATTTTAAGTATTATTTCACTGATAAGCATCTGTGAATTGGAAAATAGTGAGCCACCACTCCTCAGGATATGTTAATAGTCACCTTGTTGCACCTTCTGGTTTGGCACAAGAGTAATCTATTGGAGAGCAATATAGTCCTTACCTTCGCGCCCCCCCACCTCTCCCCCCCCAATATTACTAGGTGGCTTATTCAGTGGTTATAAGAATTCATGGGATCCATTTAACTGTTTTTGTTGCTTGCAAAGTTAAAACCTTTGTGCTTTATTCATGGCATTGACTGTCACAAAGCTAGGCTCTATTTTTAGTCCCAGCTAAACAAAAAGTAAAACCAAGTCTGCTGTATCTTCTTTCCTTTTGGGGTTGATATTTCATAATTTTTACATTCCTTTTAGAGTTTTCCTCTGCTCCGTTGCCATTTGTTTTCGCTAATTTCATTAAAATCTCTGCAGTAGCTCTTCATGGGAGTTTAGTGTTGCCCTTTTGGTAAATTCATAGAAGTCTTGTGTGTTTTCTAAGTTTCAGTGGAAGAAACTGCTGAAGGGGACAAGGGGATTGGTAGTGTTTTAGTTACGAGTGTTTCTAAAGGCTGCAGCAGCACAACAAGTTATGGTGTGATGGTTTTCTCTTAAATTTTTTTTTTTAAATTTAACGTTGTTTTAAAACCAGATATGGCAGCTGTGAAAATTTTTACAGACTATTGTCTGGATGGTATGTTTTCTTGTGAATTACTGAATTTTTTCAGGCAATTTTTTTGATTGTACAAAAAATTCATCCCATACTATCCTGGAAACCTGCCTTGAGTCCGTTGTAATCTTTCTCTTTCTTTTTTCCTTAGGAAATTTGCTACAAGACCCTATTGCTCCTACCAACTCCACATGTCAGCACTATGTCTGCAAAACTTGTAAAGGCAAGAAGATGATGATGAAACCGTCATGTAGCTGGTGCAAGGACTACGAACAGTTTGAGGAGAATAAGCAGCTAAGCATCTTAGTGAACTGCTATAAGAAACTCTGCGAATACATAACGCAAACTCCACTGGCACGAGATATTATCCAAGCAGTTGATTGTTCTGCAGATCTTTTGGCTTTGCTCAAAGATGGATCACCACTCCATGAAGAGACAGAAAAATCTTCCGATACTGCCTTGGCTTTGTGTTTGACACATTCCCCAGTACCTTCAACCTCAGAACTCACAACTGATCCTCCAGCTAGTTTTACGTCAATACCTGAAAGCACACACAACATTGATCTTAGAGGTTCTGTTATCAACGGGTTGCCCAATTGTAATGGGCTTTCGGTAGATAAACTTGGAGTGAATATTCCTTCTCCTGAACACGCAAACACAATTGATGTCTGTAGTACTGGAGAGTATATAAAAACTGAAGATATCTCTAGCAGCCTGCAGCCTGTGTGCGATACCGTTTCTACTAGTGACTTGTGTACCACAGGCATTGACATCTGCAGTTTCAGTGAAGATATAAAACCAGGTGGCTCGCTCCTCCTTAGTGTTGAGGAAGTTCTCCGGAGCTTAGAGACCGTTTCAAATACAGAAGTCTGTGATTCTAATTTGCAGCCCAGCTTGGAAGCAAACATGACTAACGGCCCCTTCCTGCAGCTTTCTCCCCCACCTCTTAGCCATAACATTTTCATGTCCACAGATGCTTCTCCTCACGGAATCTCCTGTACAGCGGCGACGCCTAAGGTAGTTAAGTTAAACAGAAAGCGATCTCGATCAGAAAGCGACAGTGAAAAGGTTCAACCTCTACCCATTTCCAGCATCATCTGTGGCCCAACATTGGGAGCATCAGCTCCTGTAACAGTGAAACAGGAAAATAAAATGTCTTTGCAGCCTATTGCAACTGTACCTAACGGAGGCGCTACTCCCAAAATAAGTAAAACTGTGCTCCTGTCTAACAAAAGCATGAAAAAGAATTTAGAACATGCCCCTAAGAAATCTCACCCGAAAGCCAAACCAGGGGTGCTGAAAACAAAAGACAAAGCAAAGGAGAAAGTTCCTAGCAGTAACGTTATGCCAGGAAGCCCAACAAAAACTGTATATAAAAAGCCACAAGAAAAGAAAGGGTGTAAATGTGGTCGTGCCACCCAAAATCCAAGTGTTCTTACATGCCGTGGCCAACGCTGCCCTTGCTATTCTAACCGCAAAGCCTGCCTTGACTGTATATGCCGTGGCTGCCAAAACTCATACATGGCTAATGGGGAGAAGAAGCTGGAGGCATTTGCAGTGCCAGAAAAGGCCTTGGAGCAGACTAGGCTTACTTTGGGCATTAATGTGACAAGCATTGCGGTGCGCAATGCCAGCACAAGCACCAGTGTAATCAATGTGACAGGGTCACCAGTAACTACGTTTTTAGCTGCCAGTACACACGATGATAAAAGTTTGGATGAAGCGATAGACATGAGATATGACTGTTGAATCTTTCTTTTCCCTGCCATCCGTAGGGGAACTGCTACAGTTTTAAGGCAGCTATGGTTCTGTTTAACTTGCTGGAGCTCCTGCGTTTAGATCACTTGTATCAAGTGTTTTTCATTGCTATGTTATGTGTATTAGTGTCTGGGAAATAGTTGCAGATAATGGAGGAGTTACCCTAAAACTGTTTTTAGTTCTTACAGCACCTCATAGTTTGAGATCAATTGCTGATGTAAATGATTTTATCACAAGATCTTTGGCAAGGAATATATTAACCTCATTGTACTTGGTCATGCTTTGTGCTCAGTCAAAGCTTCTGCTTAAATGTAGAAAAGTGGTATCTAGTTAGTCCATCTAAACTGTGCTAGATTACGGTGTAGAAAAGTAATTACTGATTAGTTACAGTCACCATTACTAGAAAAATCACCTAATATTCCTGTAGGAAATGCAACATTGAGCTGGAGAATGCAGTCTGAAAAGGATAGATAATTTCCCATTGTGAAAATTGGCTATCTACTCTAGGGAACAGTTTAAAACTAAACAAGTTTAGTAATACATTTGAGAAAGCTAATAGCCCAAAAAGCAGCTCAGTCTCCAGACAAGGGTCAGGAAGAGCAGTTGGTTAGATACGAAGGTCAAACTGCTGACTTGGATACACCGTCCCTGTTAACAACATCACTCATTTTTTTGTTTTCTTGACAATTCCACAGGTCATGTTCCTGGTCAGTTATGCCCTCTGTGCCAACTCTGTTTGTTTGACATGTTATTGACTATTTTGGCTGGGGCGAGAAAATTACTTGTACACAAAGAAGGCCCAAGTTTTATTAGCACCATTCTCTCCTTTTTTCCTCCCCCCTCTCCTCCCCCCCCCAAAACCCCGCCTTTTTTTGGAGTTGTTCTGATTTCACTGCTGTTTCTTCTAGAAAAGAGGGGATTTTGTGGGTTACAGAGAAACTCCTTGGCTGATTTCTGCCCCCCCTCTGCCGATCAGTGCCTGGGATACACAGAGACTTCCACAGCAGTTATCACCATTGGGATGGTTTTTTGTTTGTTTGTTTTATTAAGTTTGTACCACACAGACCTGGGACCCATCCTCTTGAGGGTAGTTCTTCGATGACAGGCATCTTTCAGCTGGGGCAGAGGATCGATTGTTATCCAAGGTCAAATATTTCGGATGTTTGTTAGACAGAATAAGCCATACAACTCACTCCACCCAGAATCTATCTCATTTTTCACAAATATGTTGAAAGTCGCTTTCAAGGGTCAGTGCTTTTCAACCTGGGCTGAAGGCTCTAAAATGGCAAAATAACACAAAGTTGTCAAAGAGCTTATCTCAGAAAGTGCTAAAATGAAAGCACCTTTGTAGGAATTCAGCTTTATGCAAAAATGGTTTATTTCAGTGTAATCCCTAAATAAGAGTACAAGTGGAAGAATTCAGTCTTGCACTTAGGGCTTCATTGGCAGCTTAAAAAAGTCAGATTACTTTGTGAAAGCAGAAATTTCTTCTCTTTGAATGATACAGCACAAATTAAACATGGACTGACTAGAACACAAAACATTACCTTCTAATTTAAAAGGCAATTTCTGTTCCAACAGCATGTTGAATAGTATGTGGATTTTTTGAGTTACTTTGTTGCTTCCATCTTTCCTTTTATTCATCTAATGAACCCGCAGCGCTTTCTGACCTAACGTTAGGTGTATTTTGATTTGGCACAAAGCATGTACAATGATGGTTCCTCACCTAAGAAATAAGCAAAAACCTTTGGACACAAATGACACCTCCTTTTGTTTTGTAGTGTACCATGGTGTCATTTTCTGTGAATGTGGTCAGATCTTTTTGTTGGTTTTGGTTTGTTTCTCCCCCCGTCTTTTTTGTGGGGTGGGTAGGGTGGGGGGTTAAAGCCATAGGAAGAAAAATGTGATGTACGTGTCCAGTCTGTACTTTTTTGTTTTTGTTTTGCAAGAAGAGTTGAAAAATATTTTTGATAATGAGTAAATGGTGGAAAATGCTTCTTAGTATTCTTGTCTTTATTTGCCAACCCAAGTACCTAAGATCTGTGTTTTTTAGCCCTCATGAGATTTAACGATGTCCTATTAAAATGTATTTAGTTAAACTTGTATGTGATTTTTGTGTTGACCCAAAAGGATCCTACCATTTTCTAATTTGGTGGTTTGATCGTGACCTACTAATGTAAATCTGTTTATTAGTCCACTACGTGTAAGAGAAGTAGCCAAACCAGAGTCTGATTTAAGGGGAGTAAACTGCACAGCATGGGTTGTTTCTGAATGCTTTTGCAGAGCTGTTAAGTTTTGCTGAGATTGTTGATGGTACATTTATTAGGACTTTCATTAAATTAAATACATAGTACCTTTGCTCCAGAAATGTGGGAGTACTTGGAATCTTTACTATCTCACTGCTGCATTAAATATGGTACCAAAAGTTGGAGAATTTAGGTCAAGTGTGTTTTGGAACCGTCGACAGGAGAGCCCTGATCATTAATGTAAAATTGCAAATGGTAGATTCAGGTTGTTTCTAAAAACATTTCCTTTTATGCTGCCACGTTCTTGAAATGTATATTAAAATTCAAATTGATTTAATAAATGTTAGTTTTCTAATTCTATTTTGCAACTGCCAAGGGCATCAGTGTGGCATATGTTGAACTTGCTGTCTAAATACTGCTTAGTCCGTTGATGACTAATTCTGTAATTGTTTAAATTAGGGTTGGCTTGGTTTGGTTTTCTTAACCTCCTGGCTACTTGTTCTTGAATAAGCTGAGCAATGGAAAGGATCATAATGTTGCTGAAAATAATTGCAGTGGTTCTAGTTTGAAAAGCATCAGTTTCCACTCCGTAGCAGTAGGAGCAGCATACTGTTCTGGGACCTTCCAGCGTTGGTTGTGGTCAAAGAGAGTTGAGTGAAAACTCAGTCCAGCGCAGCCCACAGCAAGGGCTTGCTCCCTGCTGGCCGTATGTGGGGAAGCACTGGGGAATCGCTGACGGAGAGCAATCGCAAGGATCATTTGAGCTCCAGCTTAGCCCGGGCTGGCGGGAGTTCCCCAGTTGACCAGGCGTTCCCCCTGCGGTGCTGTGGATTTGGGGAACTCTTCTCAGCGTTAGCACAGCGGAACCTGCTTGGGGATTTCTTTTCATATAGGAAGCGTGTGATATTTCAGCTTTCTTCCCAATCCTCTTGAAGACGGTGATTAACTTCCAAACTTTATTAAAATCCTGTAATTTGTAGTTGCATCAGAAAGAAAAAGCAGCAGTTCATCAAATGTTTTGCTGTGGGAATTTTCCTGCCTGAAAACATGTTGCAAAGGTGGAAAGAACAGAGCTCCTTCTGGAAGGGGTGGACTTTTGATCACGTGTAGTGGTACAAAATTAGTCTAGTGCTTCTGACCATCCAGATCTGAACACGTGGAAGATGCTCTTTCAAGAAAGAGAGGACATCTAAACTTTCATTTTGAGTGGAAAGGCTCTTTCCACATACCGTACACCAGTGAAATCACTGGTTGGGATTAAATCCCGGAGAGAGGAAGGACAGGGGAACAAACTGGAAAGGAACGCTGGGATTGCGTTGACCTTGCTGCTCTTCCAGCAGTTCATTCATGCAGGTGAAGTTCTCGCTCTCTGGCTTGTCTAACCCTACGGTATAGTGCCTGTGAACGAGGGGGTCACAACAGACTCTTCTGTTCCCGTTGAACTCCCCGCAGATGTTCTTGTACGTGCATACGAGTTTTAAAACATCATCACAAACTGAGGAGGCAGGTAACTGATGTCGTCTTGCGCAGCTGCTTCCGTTCGTGTCATCGTTACATCTTAAGAGGCTGCCCCCCTGCAAGCACCGTAAAATTTTGTATTGTCAGGAAAAAAAACCTGTAGAGTTACAATGTGCCAGCAGTCTGAAATAACACCTGAAAAGCCTGCTTCCCAAGGCAGGTACTTCGGGCACAGCAAGGAGCTGCTTGTTCAATGAAACTCCAATAGACTTTCAAGAAAAAGATCATACAGATGTGGCACATGAATAGTGCAGATTCTGGCGTGATCCAGAATAAAAGCATCTTTTTACTGTATGCAAGAAGCACACACCCCCAGACATTTTTTATGTATTTAATTTTTATACAAATTATGTTTATAAATAAGCTTTCGATTGCTAACTAACCTGTGAGAAGTGAAACGACAAAAAAAAGAGGAGCTTTGTATGTTAGAATCATTCCAGGTATGTGGCACGGCTGATAAAATTCACTCTGAAAGCTATATAATGCTATTTAAAGTAGAACTGATAACGTCACAAGCACATCTTGTTTGTCTGGTCTTAACTAATTTTTCAAATTGAAGTGCCTCTGATATTTTAAAGAAACCCAGAGGTCCCCCCCAAAAAGTGACTTTGCTATATACAGATGTAGGCACACAGGGGAACGCTGACCTGTCAGTCTCGCAGATGAAGTAATAAGATAATGCAGCGATTCTGCTTGAGCATTTGCATATAATGAAATCAGAAATTACTTTTTTTTTTCCTTTTTTTTTTCTCTCCCTGCCCCCCGCCCCAATTTATTCCACTTGCAGAAGATCCAGGAGATGTCTGTTTTCAGGACAGGTTAAAATGACGGAGCTTGGCATTTTGGTAAGCCAGTACACGGATGTGCTCCGTGTTGAGGGATGAAGATGTGAGGAAGGTAAGTGGTAGGATTGCTTCTCTTCCCCAGTATTTTTGAGAAGAAAGCCTGGAATTTTGGCTTTAGCAGGCTTGCTGACAGGTGACTGGATGGCGTGAGCTTAGCAGCAGCAGGAAGGACGATTTTGGGACAGCAGCCGGAGATGAAGTGAACAGTAACACTACCCCACCACTACGAGACAGGTTTTACTTTACTTTTTAAATTCAAAAGTCCTTTATTTGCCAAAAAGGAAGAAAATACAAAGTAAAAATACAAAGATAAAACCATGCCAGCACAAAATGTCTCCAAACTACTTTTACAAAGTATGAGAACCTTTATTATTAAATATTCAGTTTCTAAGACCATCACCCGGTGATACAGAGAAAAGATCAGAACAAAAGGGTAAGCACTGTTTACATGTTTTTCTTACAGTAGCTCATGCTCTTTATTGAGGTTCGGTTTTGATTGCATAGACCTAAGATGCTGTGATTTAGAAACACCGAACTCCAAAAATACATACATTAAAACGACGCCTCAGTGACCTCCCTCTTTTTTTAGCCTTTCAGGCATACTTTGTTTCAGAAACGAAGCACAGTACCTTGGTTAGAGTATCTCGAGTCAGCTTTCTTAAATCCTTAGTTCAGGAGAGCAGGAAGGTTTTCTGCAATGTTTTCTGTAAACCTGAGACTGACTGGAATTTCTTTTTTGCCGTCCAAGTCCGTTTTGCAACACTGCCGCTTGGTGGCAGACCGGCAGAAGGGGAACTATGTCAGTGCCTGGGTTTTGCTGATGAGAACTGTAATGTAGCAATTACTACTGAGATTTTAGAAGAATAAGAAAAAAATCGAGCTAGTACCATTCCAGCAGTAATCGCATGTGGTTGTATTGAGCCATATCTGCAATCTTAGTACTGCAGAGAGAGAATATTTGTGAATATAAAAATAAAAAGCAAGGGTTTTGTAAGGACACAGGACTTAATTTTGCTAGGCAAAAGCAGACTAGAGAGAACAAATAAACACAAATGTATTTTTTTTTATCATGCAAAACTGAATTTTACTCACTTTTCTGACTACTCAAAAGGAAAAAGGAATCCAGCTCATAATAGACTTCGGTTGGAGCTGGATTTACAATGAAAAACGCATGCTCTGTCTTTAAAGGTATGCAACATCTAAAGTAGCATTGACAGTTGGAGACGGGAGGCAAAGTCAGAGCAGAGTGGACTCCTGCAAGTCTTCTGCGCTGTGATTCTTGGGTTGCTTCATTCTAGAGAGCTTGCTGACCTCTGAAGCTGGTGTGTGTTGCAGCTGAGCAGGTTCTGGTGTCTGTATTCACAAACATCCTTGTCTTCTTACGTTTTGACTATCCCAGAAAGAAAAGTTAAGAAGTAGGACAGGAGATGCCAAATTTACCTTGCTTATATACTGCGGACTTAGAAACCTTCCATCCAGAGAACCTGTGGAGAGGGCTAAGTCACATATGGGGTGTAGAATAGGTCCTTTACTAATTCATCTGTGGCTGTTGAATTATGATTCTTTTCAGATGTATTAGTGAGAGAGAATGGATTTCTACTCCTGGAGTAAATAATACAAATCAATGCAAGTTTTGCACTGATACTGTGCTAACAGCGGCTTCTGTAGTTTGTCCTTATATTCACATACAAGGCAAAATGTTTGCTGTAAGTTGTTTGTTTGCTTGTTTGTTTTTTTCTTTGATTGGCTTGTTGTGTTGACCTACTGGAAAGCATGAACTGGGTTTGGAATCGCTCTACTTTGTCAGAGCAGCAGTGAACCTCTTTGTAGAAGAGAGGGCCTTCGGTTTGGGGGCCAAAGGGCTCAGCAGAGCAGTTACGAGATATTGTCTCAATTTATTGAAGCCAAACCTTGGAAAGGTAACTGGTGATTTTTACCAGGCTCAGGATACTGACTTCTTCAAAAAGTTCAGGCAGACTGGTGTGGTGTGAGATGGAAGTCTGAATTGATTTGATGGGTTGAGTTAAAGCCCCTCTGCAAAAGGCATATGAGGAGAAAGATGAAAGATCCTGAAGTGGTGGGTGAATAGAGAGAGCAGAACAGCAGAAGTAGGCTTGAGGTTCGACCCAGCAAGAACAGAAATGCCAAACCAAAAGAGCGATGCACCAAGGGTTGCTGGAGTACCAGCTCTTCCCAGTCCATCGTGGGCTCACATGTGGTGGTGCTTGAGAACAGGGTGTCACTTGCTCAACTGGTGAGTCCTTGAGTCTTTCACCTAACTCCCTCCTTGTGTTAAAAAGAAATTGTGCATTCCCGGGAATATATACATCCTTCCTGGAAAAGGATGTTGCTCTGAACTCCCATAGGGAGGAGGAGGACGAAATGTAATACGTAGAGGTGATAGAATCACCATCTATGGAGATTTTTCAAAACTCAGCTGGATGAGGTCCTGAGAAACTTGCTCTAACTTTGAAGCTGGCTTGCCTTTGAGCGAGGAGGTGGAAGAGAGACCTATGGAGGTCCCTTCCAACCTGATTTATTATATTATTCTGTACAGTGCTAGGAAAGCTTCTTTTCTTGGAGGTGCCAGGGCTATCCCAGGTTAAAATCTTAAAGAGACAATCACTAAGTTATTCTGGAATGAGACTTTACATAATTGGCAAACTGGACATTCCAGTACTGCTGCTTATGGAGCTAAAAGCTAGCAATGCTGAAGTAACATGAAGGTTCAATTTCAGCCTAGAATGGGGTCAGGTTCTTCTTGTTCCTTTGAGGAATCTTTGTCTTTGGAGAGATGTAAAATTTTATCAAACTAAAAGACCACTCTGGACCTAGATAGTGAAGAAAAGAGGTAAACTGCTTTGCCTATGTTCTTTCAGGTAAAAAGTGGACAGAGCAGGCTACAATTAGTGGCTGCACAACTTCCACCCTATGTTCATTTCTGCAATCATTTCCTAGTTTCTTGGGCCTTTGTAAAATCATCCCCAGTAAAGCTTTTCCCCTCAGGGTTATAGCGATGATGGAGATGTGATTCAAACACCCTGGTGTTGAACAGAGCTGCTCTTGTGTGCTTGTTGCATTCAAAGAGGCTTATCCTGGTTTGGTTAGAGTGCTCCCTGCTTACATCTTTCATTATGGAATGGAAGTTACCTTGCAGTGCCTTTGCTAATAACCTGGGCATCCAGAAGTTTACCAAATACCAAATCCAGGATCCTGGGGTGTATATATGCATCTGAATAAACTAGCAGCTTTTTTCAAGAAAAAGAGAATAGATCTCCAGGGCCAGTATAACTGAAAACTTCCTCTCTTTCAGATTTTCATCCTGATGAGAGAGTTACTAACCTTAACAAGGCAGCAGTATATCCCACCTGGGCATCGGGAAACAGGTGTTACGCTTCAAAGGCTCCTGGAAAAGTTGAAGCTGCATTGTAGTGATCAGCCAATTTCTTATTTGGTTATTAACAGTAGCACTTAGAAGTATCATCTAGGGATTAATGTTCCATTGTGCTAGCATCTATATGTACAAAATACACCAAGCTAACAGTGTGTATGTGTATATACAAGTTATCTCTTAACTGGGTGGGTTCTGCCTTTAGTGCAGGCAAGGAGGTGCCTGCTTGGAGATCCGATCCTGGCATTGGAAGTTGTCCCTCAGGTATTCTGGCAGGGATTCACATAAGGATGTCCTGAGGAGGCATGGTTTGATATTCTTACAGCGAGGTAAGGGGAAATATAGTGTATACATGCCACCCAAGCATTACGTATTTGGGCACAATTACAATAGTTGAAATAAAATATGACAGCTGAAACCTGTCCCAAGCTGGAGAAGGTAAGTACCAGATCTATTTGTGTATCTATGGTGGCTAAAATGCAGACTGGTAAGAATAAGTTATAATCACCTCTGTGCTGAATCACAGACAGCTACTAGGCAAGGACGAACAGCTGTAGCAGCAGAGCATGTGCTATTACTAGAGACACCAGTTGCGATTTATGGGGAAAGTCAGTTTAATTTTGCACTGAAAGCAAGAATTCATTAGTTACAGTGTTTTGTCTCTGAGACTGGGCCTACTTGATGGGTGGAAAATAAATTTTTGGCAATATTACAGACTAATTCCTTTACCAGTTAAAGGATCCCTCTGGTAACAGAAATTTAGCACACTAGGTTAGGGGTGGGTTTTTTCTTCATTACCTCAGCTTAGTCTCTTGGAGAAGGCTACAGGTTAGCAATACAATAGAAGGGAAGAACACAGGGAATGGACAGAACTGGTACACGCAAGACACAGCAGTTTCAACACACCAGCTGAACAGCATATGTCTTTTCTTGTAAATATGCTAGAAAATACTTTTACAGAGACAAAACTGAGGAAGATCTTCTTATGCACAGGAAAATATGTAGAAATGTTAACTACATCTCAAATTCTTAGCAAAAGGTTACACCATGTGGTGCTTTAACTGTCCACAGATTCATACAAGTAAAATATGTCCAGTATCAACTGTAAGAGCTTGTGGTTTAAAGCGCAAAAGGGGACTTCGCTCTCCCCACGTGCAGGCATGTTGCCTTGGTTTCCAGGACACTAAGGAAAAAAAGAGAACTTCATTGTGACTTGCGTTTTAAAAGATTTCTAGACGTACATTTAAATTAAGTTAATTTGGCAGCTCTTTTGTCACTCCTGGTATAAAGTCAAGGGGACAGAATGGCACAGGACTGAACTGAGAAACGACCACTGTAGATGTTGCATGCAGTTGCTACAGTTAATCATTAGATGCTGGCATTTATTGCACATCTGGGGACATAACAGAATTTATATATAAACGAAACAAGGTGCAATCACCATTTTTAATGAGCGTGCACGATAACACATTGTAAAAAGCCTTTTTATAGAAATTACCTTATTGCAAATACACAGGAAGAGAAAAAGGTTTCTCAAGTTACAGTGTACAAAATAAAGCACATTGCGCCAATGACGGATTTAAGAAAAATCCCTAAGTGTCTTGGGACTGAATGCTATCCAGTTTGAAAGATTGATTAAATCTCTTCCATTTCTCTATGCTGAGAGATCTGAGATAACTAGTTTGTCTGACTTGTCTCCAGTTTCAGGGGGAGATAAGACTTCATCTGTGTCATAGTCTTCTTCAAATGATCTGCAAAGATAAAAGGTATGTCTTTAAAAGCCATATTTTGGTGAGAGCATTTTCAGGTAAGTTATTTCAGTGGCTACTAAAGCAGCTGGCTAAAATACAGTAGCATGCAAGATGTTAACCTCGAAGAGGATATTTATACGGATTGAAAACAGTGCTGTAGTAATCAGTATTCTGACAGCTGACATGACTGTGCTCCCATCCATACTCATTTGTAAGTTCCGAAACAACTTTTCACTGCTGTTCAGCATTATAAAATTTGAATCCAGTTTCAGTAACAATTGTCAGTAGCTCACAGCAGCCTTAATAGTTCAGTGTAGAAATAAAGTCATCCAGCCACACATCCAGGCCCTAGAGGAGATTTGGCTTGCTCAGACTTGCTCAAACACCTGGTTTCCAAAGCATCTTCTGGCTTAGGGTATGTTTTGACATCCACAGAAGAACAATTGTGGCCATGCTGTCATGTTTCTCTCTCACTTGGTTTGAAGTTTAATATCCAGGTCCTAGCATTTATGGCCTGGGGAGGTTTGTGAATTCTCAGCTCCAGCCAGTTGCACTATTTGGGCTGGTTGGGTTCTGTGCTCTGCAGCAGAGGATATCACTTTGGGGCTCTCATCCCATTCCTATTCCTGAGAAATGATGTTCTTAAGATGTTTTCCTTCCAGTCTCAGCACACTACAGGTTAGTTTCTCCGGGCTCCCAAGAAATTCAAATTCTTCCTTTTGTTCTGAAAGCAATGCTGCTTATGAAGGAAATGTTGCAGCAGGTGTTCCAATGGCAAGCACAGGAATAGCTCTAGTTTGTTCAGTGATAAAGTATGCTGCAAAAAGGCTAAACTTCTTTGATACCCCAGCACAGATGGTGCCAAGAAAGAGTTGTCTACCACTTCTTGCGCTGGTTTTCCCCTCACTAACCCATATGCAGGCACAACAAATCCTTGGGAGCCTGTCAGTATGTATGTCCTGCTGTGGGGAGGGTTCTATGCTATAGTTTGGTGATCCCTATGTGAAGGAGAGACAAACAGCATAGAGATCTTCCTAGACAACATTTTCATCTCCTCTTCCATAAAGGAAAGCACCTGCTTAGTAATCCTGCCACCTTCTGGATCCTTGCATAAGTGGGAGAAGGGAAACAATGGTCTGGATCCTACACCAATAACTGTTCTGATCACGCATGCAAGGATACCAAAAAGTACGCAATATGCATGCTTTTTACTTAAGCGGTACCTGTCGGGAGTCTGCATGGCCCTGCCTCCCCTGCATTCCCCACCTGGGAATGGACTGTGCATGTTTGTACATGCCTCAGTTTCTCTAATGTCTCCTTGGTTCAAGATGATGCAGCTGAGGAAAACTTCTTATTTCCATTTGAATGCTGTTCTTAGGAATGTTCCTTTTGTGTCCCCTTTTCCTTCAATTTTACCAATTTCTGTTAGCTTTCTTCTTTTTTTTCCTATACGTGGAATGTGACCTTTTTCCTGTATTGTTTATTTTGCACATTCACCAGCACTTGGAGCTCCATTATAATTTTTTTTCCAGTGCCTTTTGCTTCTGGACTAAATCTTCTCATGTCTTCTTCAAAAGGGGCTTCCCATTGTCCTTTCTCATGTGAGTTACTTTTCCACTTCACTCTTTTGCACCTTAAGGCTCAACAGTGCCTGCCTTTCCCATCTTGGAAAAAATGCTTTCCACCTTTATGGCTAGGAAGCATCCAAGGGACAGCTTTTCCATGAGATCAGCATTAAAGATAATCACCACCTCTCCTTCCAGGCCGGTTTCAAAACTTCACAGTCCCATAAATACACATATGGGCTCATGTAGATTAAACACCCATTCAAAACTCAACCATGGCAACTGTAGCTTGTTCATAGAAGGCAAATTACTCCAGGAAATTCTTTATCCTTCCTTCTGGCAAACACACACGTTTTGTCACTGGGTGGTTCAGCGATGTACTTCTTCCCCCTTTCCCTTCCTTAGGCTGCTGGGTTCATGAAAGTGAGCAACTGAGCCATCAGCTGACTTGAAGGAGACAAGAAAAATGGTCTAAGCTGCCTAAACCAACATCATCTGATCCTATGTCTTTGTCCCACCTATCCACCTCTGAGCAGGATTGCTCTGCATTGTGCTCTTGCTCCTTGTTGCTCAGGTGAAGGGGATTCTTTCCTATCAGCAGCTGATAAAAGATGGCCTCTTCCTCCTTATTTCCCTTCCTATGGAGAAAAATCTCTTTCCATGAAGGCAATTGTGGCTTTCATGTACATCAGCTGGCTGAAACTGGATTCTGAACAGTGAACAAAGCAGTGCCCACTTCTGGCAGGCAGGCCATAGCCTGGACTGCAAGAAAGGATTTCTGCAAAACCAATGCTTATATCTGCATTAAGAGCTTGTGTTGGTCAGATTCAACTATTGGTTCTGCCTTCAAACAACGTGTGTATACATTCACCAGGGAACAGACTTTCTTCACTGAATCTCATACATAGATGTATAAAGCAGAGCATGGCTGAGAAGTGTTCAGATCAGCTTAAGCTTCCAGTGAAACATGATGTCTCGTCTTGAGCAAGACGACACCTTTCTCTTAACTTATTTTTGGTGACTGTAGCTCTCAATAGTCACAGCATCCTTGAAGTCGCTCGAAGTATCCACTATGTTTTGATGAGATTCCTCTTCCAGGAGCAGCGCTCTCTCATGGGCAAGCCTGCAGACAGCCAGCCAGACACTGACTGGTTTAAGAAACCTTCCATTCAGAGAAGCTATGGACAGGGCTAAGTCACAAATGTGGTACACACTTACTAATTCATCTCCAATTGCTCAATGATGGTTAGTTTCAAATGTATTAATAAGACAAATACCAGATCCAGATTTCAGATTCTGCCAGACAAAAATCTTCCGGTCTCTCATAAAGCTCATAAATTGTCTTGGTTTTGTCCCTGCTCCCTGTTTCTGTCATCCTCAAAGGACAGCAGAAATAATGTCCGTGCAAAAACTCAATGCCTGTTTCTGGCCAATTTGTCTGGGCATCCAGCTCTTTGTTTTTCTTTTTCCCTTCCTTTTTTCCTGCATAGTCTGTTGCTATGCTCCACAAATGAGATCTAATCCTGCTGCCATGACTACAGAGCTTTTCAGGGGCTCTTAAAAGCAAGCAGCAAGGTTGCTGACATGGTCTTTACAGGAAGACACGGAGCTGTTTCAGACAGGCTTCAAAAATCTGACATCACCTGCCATTTCTCCTCTGGTTTTGGTGAGTTTGGGGATTCATGGTCCTGCAAAGCTTTTATAAAGCCCTATTTCTTTTCTGTGCTGAGGACACAGGTATTGCAAAGCAGCTGCAGGGAATACAGCAATTTTATCTTCCATCCTGTGTTACCTCATCTTCTATTGTGAAGGCCACAAAAAGGCAAGGCAGCTCAAAGGAGATGAGGGAACAGCCCATAGCTGTTTGGATGCACATCACAGGGAGAGAGGGAAACATAGCTCTCAATAGCTTTGCAAATCTCTGTGGCTAATTAGTAGGTGCTACTGTTATCCCAAGCAACTTCCAGTGTGGGAAGTTTTGAAAATTATGCAATCTTCTCAGTACTCTTTAATGGCTCTACAAATACTGTTCAAGAACGGATGAAATCCTGAATCATGCAAGATTAACATGGGGTAAGCATTCTTTGGACGTTTGTTATATTAACCCGGAGACTTCCAGAGAAGTATTCTCAAAAAAATAGTAATACAGACACAAATCTAAAAGATAATTATACTGAGTCACCATTAGGAGCCTCTGCAGGAAGCCCTTGCACACAGAGAGGTTCTGGAGCAATTGCTCTGCCTAAATTCATTGACTCTAAGGATAGCTGGAGTGTCTGTCCATAATTTTATAGAAGGCTGCAAAAATGAGTGTAGGTATTGCAGAAACCAACAGTGTTTTAAAGAAAAAGTCTCAACAAACTTAGTAAACGAATGAAAACATTGAAACAGAGCTTATGAAGAGCACAGACTAATAGGCATAAAGTTTGGCAGAAAGTAAAATTATTTGACTAAAGAAAGTCTCCACTACGTATAATAAATGTAACAGAGCTACAAGCTTCTAATCTATGATAGTGTGACATGGTCAATACATGGCCAAGACTAGCAAAAGTAATTTGATCTCTTTTTGTACGGTTGCCAAAAGAAAAAGGCTTTGTCCTTTTTCCCAGCTATCTTCATTACTGCAGTGTGTGTAGCTGATTCAAATGGCTGCCCCCAAAGAAGCCCACTGTGACAAATACACCAATACACTGCCTTTTGGAGCAACTGTTTCAGGCTTCACATGCTCCAGTGTTGAGTCCAAATTATAAGTCCACTAATCCACCATCTCTGTTAGAAGTGGCATCTACATGCTCCTACTAAACCTCAGCTGGAGCCAGATATTGTCCCCCCAGGGCAGTGCAATGCCTATGCTTACCCTTCTTGTAACTGGTCGTTCCCAGACTCCTCAGCCACAAGAATCTCGTACTCTTCAGCAGCATATCTGTCCCAGTCAGAGGGTTCAGGGCTATCATTTTCAATGTCCTGAAGAGATCAGGCAGTCAAGCACACAACATCTACACCTCTCTACAGCTGTTTACAATAGGTCTAAACACTTGAAACAGCAATTCTAGGAATAGTAACTGTATAGAAACAGCTAGTCAAAAATTGCCTTAGCTGAAAGAGTCACAATTATCTTAAACTATTTTAACACGTGCACATAAATGACTATGAAAAAATACATCCCTTAGTCTATAAAGCTCAGCATGTGACCTGAGCTGCCAACAAACTGAGCCTGCTTCATTTCAGAAATGCTGAACATTAGTAACTGCACATTTTCGTTGCTCTAGCTCAGCAAGCCCTGCATGCGTGCACTTTGGTTAAAGAACTTAATGATTTAAAATCTTTAATTACATCCTAATTGCAACTGATCTTTTGAGGAACTCTTCATAGTTTGCGAAGTTTGGGCAAGTTTGAGAGAAGGTTACAGAATAACATCCTTATAAACATTTGGCCCTCTGCCATTTACTGTAAGACAGGGAAAATAAGTTATCCCCCCCAGCCCCACTTGACTACTCTTACGATGATCCAGTTTAAACAAACAAAAAAAAGTAGGGTGGTTCTGGATTGGGATATATTTAAGGCTTGAATCATGGAACCACAAAGTTCCTCTTACAAGTTGGGAGGGAACCAGAGTTGGTTTTGGCATGCCCACCACTTTACTGTACTTTGACCAGCTTCTGGGAGATAGTCTTTAAGCTGTAGACACATCTGGTTTCACTGGATGTGCAAGGGGAGCCAGAGGTGAGGAAATTTATACCAACAGCTGACAAAACTCAACTCTCTGAACACCCCACAGTTAGTGGTGAGCAACAACTGCAAAATACAGAAGCCACAATCTCCTCCTGTATTCTCTCTGCTTGGGAAGAGAGGATGGTGAATGACAGTGCAGCCAGGCTGATAACCAGCACCATCTGCAATATCCAAACCTTCCATCTAGTCTACTTCATGTGTGGCCTGATCACGGAATTGGCATCTCATCTGCCTCGGCCCCTGTGTTGTAAAGAAGGTCTGTCTCTTTGGTTCTGTTTAGGCTATGGGAAAATTGCTACTGCTGTTTTAAGGATTAGACTCCAACCTGGATGTTTAATAAATCTTCACATGTAGCCTACTTATTTATGACTGCAGCTGTGTAGGAGACAGGAAGAGACAAATGGGATCTCCAGTTTTGAATCTCACAGCTCCTTTCTAAACTGAGCGAACCAGGTTCCCTTCTAGTGCAGCTGAGCCCCCCTCTTTCAGCCTGCTGAATCAGTGCAACTCAGCAGGCTCTGGTCATTCTCTCTAGAATCACACACTGCACTGCCAGTGCTGGTGTAGTAGGATCAGTGATGGCAACCAAATCATAGAATAACAGTACAATTTGTGTTGGAAGAGACCCAGGAGGTCTCTAGTCCCAGCCTCTGCTCAAATCGGGGTTTGCTATAAGGTCAGATCATAGGGCTCAAGGTTTTGTCCGGTCAATCTTGAAAACCTCCAAGAATAGAAGCTGCACAACCTCTCTGGGCAACCTGTTCCAATGTTTGAGCACCCTACTTGTGAAAAAGGTTTTCTTATATTCAGTTGGATTTTCCCT